GGCATTAGGCACTGAAAAATATTATTGTTGCGGATTAGAATATACGCGACGATAAAGTTAGAAAACTTCCGTCTCAGCATTGTACGGATATCTAGGACACAAACATGAGAGGAATAATAACAACATGATTTTTATGTGGAAAACCCTGGAAAGGGAAAAAATCACGGGGCCACGCCCAGTTGAAATAATTCCACTACTGTTTGTTTGAGGTACGAGAGGTTGACTCGTCCTTAAAATTTAGAATGATCATATTACAATGCTACACTTCTAGATTGAAATCCGATTACAAACAAGTTGTACATTCGAGTTGAATTCAGAGTCATTTGGAATTCCGACGTCACTTGGAAATCGGGTAGAGTTCCGGCTTCACTTGGGCGTCAGGCAGAATTGTGGCGTCACTTGGGCGTCAGACAGAATTTTGGCGCCACTCGGGCGTCGGGTAGAATTTCAGCGTCGGTGGTCAAGGAGAAGTTTCTTCCCTCCTAATATTCTTCTCTTCTCTTCTCCTTCTTCTCTTCTTCTTCTTGCTTGGGTCCTCTCTCATGAGAAATAAGGGGTATATATATAGATATTATGGAGTGGCATGACTTGTAAATATGTGAGAGATCAGGGGTAATAGGGAGTGGTCGGATGGACTGCCGATATTGAATCCATTGATCGTGTACCGTTCGTCAGACATTTGAAGATCTTAATGATGTCGGAATTCAACGATCTTAGGCTCGTTGGATTTGTCTCGTTGAGCCGCTCAATTCGACTATAAGAACATCATATTTCGAAACCTTTTAGTAACTCAAATTATGGTTTGAACTTTTCAACAGCGCTTCGTGTGCTTGATTTGGACTCATTTGGGCTCGGATTGAGTCGAATTTAGTGTCGTTGAGTTCGTATTTTTGAGACGCTCAGTTTGACTGTAGGTTTGCTGAAATCGGAGTTCAGATGGTCCCAGATTAAATTTTTGAAGTTTCCAGCTTGATTTTGCTTCGAGATTCGTACCTGATAAAGATAATTTTTTGATGATACATCAATTATATATATAAATTATAGAAGGTCATTATTCATATTATTCCAATTTTCTTATATTTTGAATTTTATTAGATTTATTTATCCTATTGTGCATTATAGCTCGCGAAATATTGTTTAGAAAAAGGAACATGCAATGTCTAAGTAAGTGATAAAGTTTTTCTTAATTTTAGTATTTAGATGTACAATTTTCGGTGAAATATAATATCTATGATTTACATTAAACATATATGGTACATATTAATTATTTATAATGTTAGTTAAACGCTTTACGTTTATTTTCATGTATTTAATTATATGTGAATCCTTATAAATACTTGATGTATATATATATATATATATATATATATAAACATAATTTCTACTTACTTAATCTTATTTCTTAGGAGACACAACATTGTCGAGTCTTCTTCAAGATTTATTATTCTGTACAGACACCGAACGCCGTTCGGAGACTGGCCAGAATGCGTCACGTCACTCCTTAACTTGGTACAGTGGCTCTGTACCGCTGACATGACACATTCTGATTGGTCTCCGGACGACATTCTACATCCGGTCTCCGCACAAAATAATTTCTCCTTCTTCAGGCGACAAGGAACTTGTGATCGGGCATCCCAAAACCACATAGCAAAAAACATATTTCCATAAAGATAAGTTTGCTTCAATACTGCACATCCATGTAAATAACTATGCTTATATGATTAAAGTAAATCTAAGACCCATATTACTAAATTTATTAGAGGGAATTTACAAAAAAAAAAGTGTGAAATGTATAAATTAAAAGAGAGAGAGAGAGAGAGAGAGAGAGAGAGAGAGAGAGAGAGAATACTTAAGTTTTGGAGAACTCATATACATCTCATTCCTCAACTTCCTCAAACTCGTGGGCAAGATGAAAGTTTTGCAAGGCATCATTGGGAGAGAAAACCTGAAGCTATTCGAAGATGGTGTTTTCCTCTTTTATTTATAGAGAGGAGAAAAGGGAGGCATCTTGTAGGGATATCAAAACTTGACACGATTCGGACCTAACTGTGAAATTTTTTGATTTGAGTCAACTCGTTTGCTAGATGGGTCAGGTTCAGATTTAATTTTTTAACCCGTTTTAAAAGTGAGTTGGGTTAGGGTTAACCCAAAAACTTAAAATCAACTCAAAAATGACCCGGGTCACCTACATGCAGTCTCAACTCCTGCGTTCGTGCGGTCCGCACAGAGCCCTCCTGCGTTCTCACTCAGTCCCCCGCGAGCATTGCGCATGTGCCGCATTTACACCAGCACTGAGGCAGCCTTATCCTTTATGGCGCTCGCTTGCATTGCGACCCGCTTGCCTCTTCACTCGCTCACACCCCCTTAGCCTACACGTGAGCTTGCTCGCTCACGCTCCCTACCCCTGCACAATGATGTACCCACTCGAGCCCCATTTTCCCACATGCCCCGCATGCGCTAGCCCCATCCACATCTCTGTGTAATCGAGTCGGGTTTGAATTTCTGGTTCATTTACAAAATTAGGTTGGGTTTTGATCAACTAAATTGGACCCGGGTTAATCCGGGTTCGATTAGAACCCGACATGCATACCCATTTTGACAACCATGACATCTTATAATAATCCATATTTTGAACTAATCAAAATTTTTTTTCAGGAATTATTATATGTCTAAATTACAAACCGTCTTATATATATCATAGATATTATTGTGTTTTAATTATAATCATGGAAATGTGAAAAATTGACACATTTCGATATAAATGGGGGTATTCATTGTTACTATACAACCTCACAATTGCTGTACTAATTTACTATTACTATACAAATTCAATGTTATTGTATTATTTTATTATTACCACCATCGATTTTACTATTAACATTGTACTAATATTGAGCATGTGGCATACTGATCATGTGATATATAGAGCATGTGATTAATATACTGATTTGATACTGATATAGAATCAATGGAAAGCATGTGTGCATCATTATAGTGTTTTACTATATTGATATAATTTCGATAGTCTTTACCAATGTTTTGATTTTATAGCTTTACGCGACTTCTTTATTGATTGATAATACTAATCTGATGACGACTTTATCGATTCAAACGTCTATACTGGTTCAGATCTACTGTTATATACACATTTTATTATTTATGTTTTGACTTATGATCATATGACTGTTATTATTGTGATTTGACTGCATATATGCATATTGCTCCTTTGTCATACTTTGAATTCAGTTGTAGGATTTGATTACTTGTTGGGCTCTTGAGCTCATTATATGCGATTAAATAATTTCAGGTCAGGGCAAGGGAGCAGGATCATGAGATTAACTAGGATCATTCAAGTTCAAGTTCTTTTAGTTATTCTTTTGTACTTAACACATGATAGTTGTGATATGATTGTATAGATCATATGTAGTGTACATGATTTTTTGGAAAATTAATATATGATATATTGATGTTTTGATCGATAATTGTATTTTTGTTGATTGATAAGAGAAATAAGATAACTTTGGTGATTGTATATTAAAAAATAAAAGAATAATTCTTCCCAATTAAATTTCAGGGACAAATTTCATGGGATTGATATAAGTAATTGAGTGTACCCGAAATGGGTTATAAATAAGTTTAGAGTTGACAAAATTATGTAAAAAATAGGTTAAATTCAATAAACTACAAATTAACAAGCTATTAAGGATTTTTAAGATATAGGTTTGAGGTGATCCATTAAAGGTTAACGACATGGTGCTAACTAATTGAATTAGCTTCTAATATATTTATCAAATTATGGTAAGATGCTAACGTTTGAGATGATCCCCTAATCTAATGAATTAATTTTCAAAAGAAAAAAAATGGCACTTTGCTTATAAACTTAAACAACAATCTTCATCGGTTGATCAATTAGACAAAAGATTTTAGGTAAATAATTCTAGACATTTGAAAATCTTCCCTAATTAGTAATTACTGTTATCCAAGGGGGTGAAGAAGACAGTTTTCGAGAACTCCCATAATTAGGGTTTTTTTGCAAGGTTTTAAAAATCAAATCAGACCGGCCGGGTTGAGAAAGGACTGATTCGGTCCACTCTGAAAACCACTTCAACATCAAATCACATTAAAGCGGTCAGAACCGTCAGTTCAACGAGTGAACCATCCTTAATTCTTTTGAACCGACCAATTCAATTATCACAATTTTTAAATAATTAACACATAAATTTATTATATTAAAGATTAGATATTAAATAATTTTTTAATAAATTAATTAATTTATATTTAAAACATTTAATTTAATTTAATATTACATTTTTGTTATAAATATTTTCCCCAAACCACCACAGAGCATCTTTACATGATCACATCATTCCATGTGAGCTCTTAACACATGAAAACTCAAAAAATTATATAAACAAGAGTTTCCAAGTGATGTTGGACTAAAGAGAAAAGTTGAAGTGTTTATGAGCTCATAACCTATATAACATCTATAAAACTCATTTTTAAACTAAACTTTTAATTAAATTTTTATAGTATGAATAATATTTATTTATTAGTTAATGATTATAATTTATTATAAAAATATAATTTTATCTATTTATTAATGATAAATCAATTTTACATAAATAATTTTAAAATAGAAATTTATAAAATAAATTTTATATATATTGTGTAGCTCGATATTACTAGTTATTGATCGATTTTGCTTGACAAAAATGAAAAATATTATTATGTGAAGACCAATACCGAGAAATACCGAGCAATACCGAGTTCTTTTAGGTATTACTCGGTATTGCTCGGTATTTGCTCGGTATTTGCTCGGTATTGATCTTCATAGAGTAATACCGAGCAAATACCGAATAATACCTAGCAATACCGAGCAAATACCGAGTAATACACGAATATAGTAATCCGGAACTCGATCTGAGTCGTGTGGTCGGGCCGCGCCGTAAAAAGTAAATGCACTTAGGGACGTATCATAGGCTAGTTCTACGTCAGGTGCGAGAGGACGCAATAATTTTTCACATGGGGCCAGCGGGACGAAGGCTACTGATGCTCTGAAAGAAGTCGCGCGGGTAAATTGGCATTGGATGTTTACGAGGCCGATCGTCGTTCCCTTGCCGCATTGCTTGAGATCAACTGGACGGATGGCTGCGAATAGATTTTCGGCAAAGTCGGCGGCAAAATCACCGATCGTTAGAGACGACACTGCCGGAGAAGGCAACGAGCCGTCGAGCGACCCAAACCTTAACCCTCGCGTGGTAAGGGTCCGGCAGCTGATGAGCAGCGGCTCCGCTGGTATGGCTACTTTCCCTTCCGCTTTTCCTAAATATTAAATTTCCATTTCCTTTGGGCGGTTAGATTTTCTTCCTTACGAGTGCTTCACGGGATTTGTCGGTGTTTTTTTCTGATTCTGAAGGTGCTTCTGCTATGGGATTACTCTGTTCCAAGGTTGGGCTTGGGTTGTCTTTGTTTTTTTAAATTTTTCAGAAGAAATCTTTTGGAATTCTTGCTGACTGTAGATTTCAGTACTAGAATCCTAGAACTAAGGGTAGTAAGGGTTTCGTGCTTTTCGTTGATGTATCAGGCACACATAAACCAAGCCTTAAAATCTTTACCTGCGTTCATTGTATTACGTTATGCTGTCTATTTCTTGCTCTGTATGCCTGCCATAATTTCAGAGGATATTACGATGAAATAAGCAGCTAAATTTATTCTTTGGCGCTTGGAAAGATGAGTGAAGGCTTCATGACAAACTCTGACCTTTTTTTGAATGTTTTGTATCTTATTATGCAGATGGTTGGGAGAAGTGTTGGGAGGAAGGGGTGACACCATGGGATTTGGGTCAGACAACACCTATCATCGCTGATCTTATTCAAACAGGGGAATTTCCTGAAGGTAGAATTTTGGTCCCTGGATGCGGCACGGTGAGACCTTATTCTGTGTAGTGCTTGATTGTCTGATAGGTTAGGTTTTCAATGTTCATAGATTCTTTATTGGAGTTAGACATAATTTTAAATTATGACAAACAAATTGAAGTTGGAATCTTTTTCTTATTATTGTGAACTATTTCAGTACCAGCCTTAAATTGAAATCATCATCATTAGCCTCTTTCCAACTATTTGGTGTTTGTTATATGAATCCTTATTCTCTATTCATTCTTATTAAGTGTTATTTATGGTATTAATTCTGCTTGCACTAATCGTTTTTACATTTTATGGTTATAATACTTTTGCATTATTAGTAGCTATTTGTCTTATTGGTGCTTTTGCTACCCATTGTTTGGTTTATTACATACGACAAGGTGAGTGGGGCCTATGGTGTGGAGGGAAAGGGAGGTTCTTGAAATCACGCTAAGAATTTTTGCTAGCTCTCCCATTTCGCTGAAGGAAACAGTCATAACCTAATTATACTACCACAATTGCACAAGATAACCATATACAGGCAATTGATACGAAAATTTAAGTGAAAGCACATAAAAGATAGATCAATGCAAATTGAATTTTTTTATATGGTTTAGCACAACCTTGCCTAAGCCAACATCCTAAGCACACCTTTCTTGAGAAACTCACTAATCCATCATTGGCATAGAGCCTGGTGGAGAAGAATTTTCCAACCATTATCTCCTTTAATTGGCATGGACAACCAAGAATGGTAAATGTGATTATTGAAAATAAGATGCCAAGAAAACATGGAAATAATATTTTGAGAAATTATCTCATGTGAGTTTTTAGGGCATACGTTTTTAGAAGAGCGTAATGCGTAATGAACATAATTATAAAATATATGAATAATTTGATCTAAAAGTGTGAATTTGAGTTGGCTAATCAAGGTAAAGCTTTAGTTGCAAATGAGAAATATCTATTCAGATTGAAAATTTATGCCAGATATTTGAATAATTTGATTAAAAATCTAGTTAATGAAATCTTTATAATGATGAGGATGTACCGGCAAGGAAAGAAACTGTGCATTAAAAGGAGCCTTGGAGATCCCATACACGCTCTTGTAGCGTGGTGGGATTGAAGACTACGGCCGTGGTGTCTAAGGACACCTATCATACATGCTCTTGTAGCGTGGTAGGAAAGGCCAGCTCCCCACACTTCCCCCAAATGGGGGATATGCTAGGATGTTGCCAAAATTCAGACTGAAGTATACAAGAACTGAACAATAAAAAGACTTCACTTGAGCAGATATACAGAGGATCTATACTTGAACAAAAATGCACAGAACTTGAACAACCGTGTAGAGAGTTGGTTTTAAATTGAACAAACAGGGGACTTGAACTGAACAGAATGGAACGAAACCTTAAAATACTAAAATGCACAATAATCATCAAAATACAAAAGATAAATGATAAATTTGATTATTCAATTAAATATCAAACCATGAGAAGGGGACTCGTGACGAACATGACCTTGATGCATATAGATAGTGAATGATGATAAGTTTATAACAATTACAAATGAATAACAATCATCCAAACCTGTGAATACATAAGATAAGATGCATAATGAGCGATGCTGATAAGTGCAACTGACTCCTTCAACAGTCCTTACAAGGTCAAATACTTGCAAACAACAATAGCAAATTGCATAATGCATAGGTGTCTCGCACATGTACTGATGAAATTCCCAATACAAGCAACAATGCCTGTAGTTTGAAATGGCGATACTGGCAATCGATAGTGGAAGACCCATTATTGCAAACAATTGCATCAAACCACCTGTGAATGGTGAAGGTGGTTATGATGGAAGTACATGTATCATTCAGCAAACAGTGGGATGTCCATACAACCAACAACGTTAGTACCCTACAAGTACATTTAACTTTTAACCATACAAATAACAATAATCTAGTGCTAAGCAAGCATACAACCCCCTTTGTAAGTCAAATGGTGATCAATTGGTGATAGATACAAGTTCCTACAGGTTGTCATAGGAGACCCACTCTATACACCATATATTAGTTGAAAACTGAAATGAAAAAGATACAGCATGCACTACAGGCCACTGTAGGAGATGCTTAATGCATGTAATATATTACATGCGCAATGCAAGAATAGTTGCGACGAATGTGAGCATTTACCAACAATGATGGAAGATGTGTCGTAGATGCAACAGTGATAAACAACAATGAATACTGAATGTCACAACATCCTTGTGATTGATGACCACTTAACGGCGGTCCAAATCGACATACAAATGCGACACATTGTCTACGAGCAGGAGATTTGTTAGTGCACAATCATCTTGATGCGGACATCAGCACGAAGATTTGGCGCATCTATCACAGGAGGCGTCGTAAATCGACGGCTCTAATTTAAATTGTCATTTAAATTTTATTTTCTTAATTTTAGCTCTTATTTTCGGTTATTTCCTGTTTTACCCTTAGGTTAGTTTATGTGAGTGTTGTGGCCCAAGGGGCAATTTTGTAATGTTTAATTTTTCTCATGTTGTGGCATATATATAGGGCCTCAAGCTATTGTAAGATGGATGGTTAATTGATATGAAAATTTTGTGTTCCAAACTTGTGTTCTTTGTTCTTGAGAGAGGACGAGAGTGAGATTCCTATGGGAAGGAATCGAAGTTGTCACCA